TTGTAAGACAAACTTCCACAAAGTGCGCCTTACACCGACCAGCCGAGATGCAACGATCTTCTCTCGTTGACGACGTCACCGTCGTTTACCGAGAGAGAGAGAGTTTCCCATCGCGCCTCATCTCTCCCACAATCGCCGATTAATCTCCCGGTTAAGCAGATTCCCGGATTAAGCGACGCTCCCGTATGCGTCACGCAGATGCGCGAATACGTGCGCTCCTTGAAATCGACCGCGACGATCCTCTCGCGTGCGCGACACGATGCGGCCGAGGGAACACCGGCGAGCCACATTTCATCGTCAAAAATAGTCTGGGAATCGTGGAAGAGAGAGAAAGACTCGTATAGGAGTCCCGTGCTTGCCGGATACTTCGTCTCGACGCTGCTGCGATACTCTCGGATCAACTCGAGCCAGAAGAGCCCCCGGTCTGTTTTGGTGCAACGACCTTTCTCCGCGATTCTCAGCTGCATAAAACGATTCGATGGCATCTCACCGCCGACAGGATGATGGGATATAATATTGTTGTTTTATATATTGAACAAGCTGATTTCATTTTTGAAATTAATTGAGTAATAGAGTTTTCTTTTTTGTGACATTATCTTGTAGTTTATAAAATTTCGCTTTGACGCGCGCGCGTCTCATAAAGTTTAAAGTTACGATCGCGGTTCACTGTTTTCGTGACCGCGAAACCCGATACCCGAAGAGGCGTATACGATGTCCCATCTTTTTTCATTTTCCCTTTTTTCGCCCTTCAGCCAATGGCGTGTTTTTTACGTGTGTGGTATAGTCGACGTGACAACAAATAAATGCCTTGGTATCAGCAGGTATGCGCTCTTTACCTACACGCTAATGTCGAAGGGCCTCGTACTTTCGTCCTCGTATCTAAAGTCGTGTGTGAAGAGGAGTTTGTGAGTGAAGCGAATCCGCGTGGTTAGAAGAAGCGCTGACGAGGAAGGGTGTGAAGAGGAAAAGCGCGAACGAAAAGGCGAGAAACCAAGAAGGAAGGAGAGAGAGGAGAGAAAGAGAGGAGGGGAGGGGGGGAGAGGGAGAAGCGCGACTCCTCGCTTCGACGGGATGAAAATAAGAAGCAGTTTATTTTCGGCAGCCATATGTGCTGGTTATTTCGACAGTTTGCGCGGCCACCCTAAATAGAGGCTGCAGGCTCGTTTTCGAGGAAGATGTTCTCTCGACTTGACATTTCCAACATGATCATCGGGGTCTGTCGATTTCCTTGGAAATCCTAAACTTTTTGGAATTTAACGAATCACGTGATTTTATAATACATTTATAAATTAGCATTTACGAGTTGATGTAAGAAAACTTGAATAATGGATCACGGTAAATTTAGCGATGGCTATAAATTCGATTGTGTATATTTTACCTCTTCTTCCGAATTAATATTTCTGCTTAAAACGGCAATCGGACCGATCATTGTCACTGTCATCGTGATATACATATATTTCCGGCGAGAAATCGTATTTCTAATTTTGAGAATGGCGTGCGCGATAGAGATTGACTCTCTCGAAATAGATTATCGCCGACGTATGAGGTTTCTTCATCCATTCTCCTTTCGCTAAGTATAGCTGCGACAGGTTGAGAGAAAGAAACCGAGCACATCGTTCCGGACATTCGCGCATTGGTCGGGAAACGTTATTGGACGGAGTTGGAAGAACTAGGGAGGGAGCGCGAATGAGAGGGAAAGCACGAGCAATGGAATGGCATAAACGTATAATTGGCCACACTTAAATCTCTATAACGTGGTAGTAAAAATGCGCGGTACGCCGCGTAAATCAACACGCAGACGATATGGCTTCTACCCCCGTTGCCGCCGTCGTCGTTGACGTCCGCTACCGAGAGCGTCCTCGTAAACGCGTCGTACAGAGCATACGAGTATACGTGAATGAATGTAGTCATGTGTGTGTGTGTATATATATATATATATATATATATATATATTTGCTGGCAGATTTCTGCGCCACCGCATACAGTTTGATTGAAGAGTATTCAATCTTGTCGATATATAATCGTTGCGTGCGAGATATCGACCTCGTGCAATCAGTTCTACAATAAAGACACAATATAATATGCCTATCGTACAAATATTTGAATAATTATTAACTCATTAAAGAACAATTATGATGATGGCAAAAGTCATAATTTTCTGTTAAATAAACGACGGGAGAAATACATTTTAGTTATAGCGAAGCATTATAAAACGCTTACAATGTTACTTGAAAGTAGGGTGATTTTATTTACAAAGTTTACGTTCGAACTTAGCAGAGTAAAACTCGGTGTGGGTTGTCGATCACGATTCTGATCTCATGACGTGTGCTCGATTGCGACGAGAAACGACATTACATTATCGATGACAGCTTGTGGGCGGATGATCGCACATGAAATACCAGTGCAGCTGAGCTATATACGTGCATCGGTGTATCGGCGAGTACCTAAAGTCAAATAAGATTTTAATGACCTGTCATGGAAAACCGCGTTGTACATTTTGAATGAATTATTGTGATCGTAATGTGATATTTTTTTTAACGCGGCCTTGCAGATATCTTTCGTACGCTAGCAATAAATTTCAATACTTTTAAACTTTTTTACACACGTATATGGAATTTATTTCAATTAAAGCTTTTCTATATATGATTTATAATTTTACTTCTTTTGAAGAATAAAACTCGATAAACCGTTTTAAAATTATTTATTTATTTGTCATTTAATTAATTGTTAGCTAGAAATTATTGTGCGATTAAAAAAGATTTGGTCCGAATCGCTGAGCACAATGAAAACGAGATACTCTGACGGAGGAGAGCATTTTCTTTCGCTGGGACATCGATAGGTCGCCGCCGTACGGTGCCGCACGGCACAGCACGATACGACCGGTACGCTACATTAACTCGATTCAGCGAGTAAATTAACTGCAATCAGAGGGACGTTCCCGTTAGCCATTCCGTTATTTCGCTAGCCACCCGCCGTTCTATGAGCTCGCAAGCCGCCCTCTTCGGCTTTCCAGGCACGCCATTAACGGGCGTTCTGAGTTCGAAGAGAGGGTGAACGTCTAACGTCGTTTTTATCGTATGCGCAACAATCGCCACCAATGGGTCTTACGTCGCGGACGGAAAACAAACGAATGGTCAATGAGGAAAAAAAATGATCATTTGAATGGTTGATTTTTGTGAAATTAATCAAATGGATCCGTGATGATACAATTCGATTTTATTAAAGATTATTGCCGTATTGTCATTTATTTTCCAATTGTTTGATATCTTGTGTATTTTTGATGACCAAAGGATTTTTGCCTATTGATTGTCGTAAACACTGCGATTACAAATATTTGACATGTAATATTTTGTCTTGATTGTCATTGATAACTGGCAATTTCATTGGAAAATTGTGTTTCGTAGAATTTGTCGGTTCATCAGAATGAATCGCGTTACGACACGATAAATATCCTTCACGCCGGATCGTAGAAGGCGCTTTTTCTCGTTTTCTCTCCCCCGGAGCGTTTCAAGAAAGCGGCACACGCGAGAATACGTCGTACGTGGCACCGATTTCCATCGATCTCCCGTCGTTCCGGTCCGTCCGCTCTTACGACGGACAAATTTTTCGTTTTGCCTGCCCGCCGTCGCCCCCTTCTTGTCCGACGACGGTCTGCTCAACGAATTCAAAGTTAATCTCGGGCACGAGACCGTTCTTTGGCGAGTGAGAGGGGTGAATTGGCAGCGCCCCCGGGCGACCTGTCATCGTGAACCCCCTGAGAGCTTCGGTCTCACCCTGATCTCTCTGTTACGATAGAACCTTGGGAATCGGGGCCTTGGGTACTACGATAAGGCTTGGTCATTTATAATCCGCTGGCGTAAGTAGCCTTCTACTCTCCTTTCTGGCTGATTGCGAGAAGAAGGAATAAAGGGAACTCCCCCTTCTCTC